CCCCGACTGGGAGGCACTGTCCCCCACCTCCTAGCCTCTGCTCTCGGAGGAAAGGGCAAGGCTGAGCGAAAGCCAGTGAGCAAACCAGAGACTCGGGGTGAGTGCTGTGAAGAGACTAGAGTAGGAGACGGTCCCCAGTGTGGCGGGCGGTCTGGGAACAGAGCGACAGTCACCCAGGACCCCCAGGCGGTGTGAGGTGTGTCGTGATGAAGAAGCAGATAGAAGGCTGCGGCTGAGGAGTGATGAGCGAGGGAGGAGGCGCCTGAGGCGAGGCCTCCAGCGAACAGCCGAGCGGGGCCCTCACAGCTATGAATTTGGGTTTTATTCCTTTGCACGATCAGAAGCTGTTGGAGGGGCCTAATCCACTTCATTTGAAGGCCATCGCCACCTACTGTGTGGAGAATGGGTAGTGAGTTTGCAAGAGAGAAAACAGAGTAACCGTTAAACATCATCACTCTGAGGGCCTGCGCTCGGCCAGGGAGGTGAGCTGCCTCCCGAGGCCCGCCTGGCCCCTGGTCATCCCCAGGACGCCGCTGGCCCAGGGTCTCTGCCCTCCCTAGACCAGACCTGAGTCTGTCCTGGGGTCGCCTCCTTCCTCTGGAGGGTCGGCCTGGACCCTGCAGTGCAGTTCCCGTGCAGGGACGTTAGGGGCCAGCACAGACTGTCATCTGGCTGGACCGGACCTCCCTGGCCCTGGGCAGCCCACAGTGAATTACCGTGTCTCCCCAGCAAGCAGGGGGCCCGGCCATTCCCGTCAGAGCTGCCATCCAGGGACCTGGCTGCATCCCTGGCTTCTCCAGGTGAGGCTGGTGCCAGGCTCAGGGTCTGGGAGCCAAAGGCGGCCTTCCCACGCCTCCCCTCTGGACGAGGGTCCTGGGCTGGGGCAGCCTCCAGGCCTGGATTCTGTTGTTTAACGTGGTGATGGGTACCGCCGCGCAACTCAAACGAGCCATGAAAGGCCCTGTTGATTTCTGTTGGAAAGTGCCTACCGCCTCTTGTGAGAGCGCCCGCCAGGCCAGGGTGGGGGTCAGTGAGGAAGAGAGAGGTTCCTCAGCTGCCACTCAGCTCGCAGAGGGGAGGGAAGCAACAGAGGGTGCAGAGGACTTCTAGAAAGCTCTGCTGTCATAGAACGTACGCCCATACTCCACTTCAGAACTCTGGTGTAAGTTTTGAATTCCACACCCACCGCTCCCCACACTCACAGAAACAACGTGTCTGGCGTTGCCCACAAGCCTGTGTTAACAGGCTCTGGGGGAGTGCCCACCACTCAGGCTGAGGCCCCACGGCGCCCAAGTTACTTTTCTGGGTCTTCGTTTGGCCCTCATCAGCCCACATCCCCCAGGTGGAGAGGCCTAAGCCAGCAGTCGGACATCCTTAGCACTGCCAAGGAGGCAGGAGAGGCTCGTAGCTGTGAGCCTGGCTTGTGGCTGAGCGGAGCTCCCCCTGTGGGAGCACACTGACCACCAGAGGGCAGTTCCTGCATTGAGCGTCTGCCCCCTGGTGGTTAGTGCACATCATAGTGACCAGTTCGCAGTCATTCCGCCGTTGGGGTCAATTTGCATATTGCCCTTTTATTATATAGGATATCCTATATAATAAACTAGAAACATGTAAATTGACTGTCCCTCTGCTAGGCTCACCAGCCAATCAGGAGAGTATGCAAATTAACCCGACAAAGATGGGAAGCCTGCAGCCACGGGAAGTCTCCCTCTCCCCAGAGTTAGGAGCACCAGCCCAGGTCCACCCAGCGGCCCGGTCCTGACTGCGGGGTGAGTTCCTGCAGGCTGGGGTTTGATCCCCAGGCATTAGCAGTAGGAGACCAGTGCCTTTGTTATTGCGGTGTGTCCGGGTTTTAATTGGACAAATGCCCAGCGGTCCGGGCGCCAGCTTAGCAAAATCTTTTAGGAAGAGAATTCTGTCTGGGTTTCCTCAAAGTCCCTCAGCCACTACTCACCCCTCTGTAAAGGCGTAGAACAAGTGAGGCCCCTTAAATAAAAATCAGAGTCTCCAGCAACGGTGGCTTCTCTCATCACAGTCATTTGGACTGGATGGCATTTGAGTATTTATCTAGGCACCATGACAGGGAACACACAAGCTCAAGTCATGATCTCTGCCCTTAAATAATTCACAATCTTATTAGAAAGCTCAGAATAAAGGGAAGGAAAGAGAGAAGAGTGGAAGAGAGAAGGTGAACTGAGGGAGAGGAGCCAGGAGAAAGCGAGAACAGGGGTGGGAGGCAAACATCACAGCCACAAAAATGAGAGGAGGCTCCATTTGCTGAGCACAGGGAGGTGCCCAGTCCCCCTAAGCACCCCACATGCTGACATCCCAGGGTATCCACCACAGGCCCATGCGGTACATGTTGCCATTAGCCCATTTTACAGAGAAGACTGAGGTTCAGAAAATTAAGAGACCCGGCCAAAGGGACACAGCTAAGTAGCTAAGCTGGGACCTAAACCCAGGTTTGTCTACTGCCCCGGAGTGATGGGAGGGAGGGTGACAGAGGAAGGGAGGAGGTGCAGGAGTGAGGGGACAGGGAGAGTGGAGGGCAGGGGAACAGACAGGGGCTCCAAGAGCAGGGCCAGGGTAGGGGCTTACAAGGCAGGTTGCTCTGATAGACGCGGTCCACTTCGTCAGCAAGAGCAGCCAGCTCACAGGCCCTCAGTGCCCAGATGAGGGACTCCACCCAGCCACTGCGCCGCTGAAGGCTGTTGAAGAGATCCCAAATGGTGTTCCGGTTCCCCTTGAGTTCGAGGTGGGCCCGCAGTAGGTCCTGGAAGACACAGCCCGTGGCCCTGCTCAAGCCAGGTGGCCCTGGCCCTTTTCCCACTCCAGAGGGGACAGCTGCAGAGAGGGGCCCCAAGCAGCCACAAGAGGGAGGCAGCCATCTGACACTGGGTCAGAGCCCAGGGCAAAGTTAGGGTTTGAGTTCAAGTTTAAAGGCAGCTATCAGGAAAGAGGCTCGTACTGTGTCCTGGGTTCTCTAGCTCAGGGCTTTGCATGAATTATCTTATTTAATGCAATTATTCCTACTCTGCTGACGAGGAAGCTGAGGCGTGGCAGAAGTAAGGCAGCGAAGATCCTTCAGCAGCGAGGCAGGATCGGAACCCAGTGAGTCTGATGCCAAAGCCTGGGGTTTGTTTATGCAGCCTCCACGGCAAAAGGGTTTAGATTAGCAAACGGGAGAAAGGTGTGTAGACCAGGCCCTCCCTCTAGTGTGTGTGTGTGTGTGTGTGTGTGTGTGTGTGTGTATCTCGATATTTTAAAAGAAACTCAGACAGGTAAAGCCTTATTTGCCCTGCAAGGGTGACTGCTTTGAATGTCCCTGATGAACGCAGCTGCTTCCTGTCCCATGTCACCGTCCGCTGCAGAGCTACTCCCCTGCACTCACCCGTTCTGGAGAAGCAGGCTAGTGAGAAGTAACCCACGAAATCACCCTGTCTTGAATGAGGTTAACACAAGAGGACTGCCTTTTACTCTTTTTTAAATATATTGTTATTGATTTCAGAGAGGGGAAGGAGAGAGAGAAACATCAATGATGAGAGAATCATCGATCAGCTGCCTCCTGCAAGCCCCATACGGGGGATCGAGCCTGCAACCCAGGCATGTGCCCTGACCGGAATCCAACCGTGACCTCCTGGTTCATGGGTCAGAACTCAGCCACTGAGCCACGCAGCCCGGCTGCCTTTTACTCTTGAAAAACATTCTGACCTGCTTGTTGCTATGATTACTGAACCTTATAAAAAGGACTTTCAATTCTGTGTCAGGTGTCTGGTTTGTTCATTTTAGGAGCTGCGAGCGCTCCAGGACGAGAAGGCAGAGTTACAGAAGGTTTGTGACGAGCAGGAACAAGCCCTCCAGGAAATGGGACTGCACCTCAGCCAGTAAGAACCTGCTCCCCTCCCTCCCCATGAAGAGTCTGGCCACTGCATGACTCAAGTCCCAAACCTGTCCTGTTGTCAGAGGAGGGGGAGCCAGTCAGGGAGGCTGGCCAGCTACTCAAGGGTGCCCCCAAGAGGTGAGACCTCAGGGCATAGAGCCCTCCCGTTCACTGACAGCATCTGGTCCCAGGGGAGCCAGAGGGCTGATGAGAGGGTTGCCCGAGGTCGGAGCACCGGGAGCCCTGGAGCTGAGAATCGGCCTGGGTGTGCGCCCACCTTTCCCCGGGGAACACTCGCTGCCAGCCCCGTCTCCGCTGGGCGGTGCTGCAGCCGAGCAGACCCTGGGAGTTTGTCTCCCTCTTGACTGGACAGCCCCCTGGTGTCCTGCCCTGCCAGGCACTCGGATGGGTCACACTGCAGATCGTGCAGCTTGTCCGTGTGTGTGATCATTGCAGTTCCAAACCAGCTTTGTCCCTTATGAGTCAGGACTCTTGGTGGCAAGTGACAGAAATCCAACTCCAACTGGCTTAAGCAAAAGAAGCCATAGGATCCGTCCCTGCCCCCTCTGCGTCCTGTCTGTCGCTTACCTCCTAGGAAGTCTGGTGCCCACGGGGGCAGAATGGCGCCCGGCAGGGTCTGTGAGACGAGTTCTCTTTCTGCAGCTCTCCCAGACCCTGGCTGACTCACTGCCCCCCCCCCCCCCCCCCGGCGCCCGCACAGTGACCAGAGAGATGGGGCTCCTGTGACCAGCACAGCCTGGGCTCAGGCCCAGTGCTGAATACAATGGGACCAGGAAGGTCCAGAGGTGGGACCAACATGAGAATCAACTATAAACACACACACAGGACACAGATCTGCACCCTTAGGGTTTCTCAGTCTGGAAAATCGGAACATTTAGGTAAAGCAGTGCAGTAGGCTGGTCCACAAAAGCAATAAGAAAGGAGATGTTACGGCTCTGGTGGGAATGTGAGGTGAGGGTGCCGTCCCCCTCGCTGTATCTTCCTAGACCAGCTCAGGGCTACCAACCACCCTTCCACCCTGAGGCCCGCCTGCCGCCTCTCCTGCTGAGCGCCCGGCACTGCTCTCTTCTGGCCGGTACTTGCCCCGTCCCCACCCTGGGGGGCTCCTGGGCGGTGGGCAAGGCTGGGTACCTGCCCCTCGCTTGGAGCACAGGGCGCTCTGAGGGTGTCCATGAGGCCAAGGAGCACCAGGTGTGGGGCTGGCATACAGCTGGCTCCTGGGGGTGCAGTGGTGTGGAGAGAGGGAGGGGAGGACACCTTGGCACGGTCCGCTGTGCCCCGGTGCACCCCCTTCTCAGTGACCAGCACCACTTTCTCCTGCCTGGACAGCCCGCAGGCGGTCGAGAGCACCTTCCTGTTCTAGGGCTTCAGCCTGAAATGTGGCTGGGCCTGGTCTGGAAACAGCCCTGCACTTGGCAGCCTTGCCCTGCTGCCGCCTGACTCGCAGCCGGGCTGTGCAGTCCGAGCAGGGCTGAGTGCTGTCTCCCCTTCCTTCTCCTTGCAAGCCCACCCCACACGGGGGACAGAGAGGGGAAGCCTGTCCTCGCCATCCCCCCTCCTCCCGTTACAGACACCAGCTGTGCTGTATTTCCCGGGGAAGCCCTGGCTCCCAAGTCGGCACATCCCGGGCAGCCTCGGCCCATCAATCCGCTGGCCTATTTCTGTGGAAAAATTATCATAATTAAAATAGGGGCTCAGAGTCGTTTGCCCTTGCAGTTGTGTTAATTTACATTTCAGTGGCAGGGATGAGAGAAAAGGCCTGCCGTCCTCCCCGGGACAGCCCAGCAACATCGCATGCAGCTTGTGCAAATAAAGCTGGTGTGGTGGTCAGAGAAAGAAAAGAAAAGAAGAGAAAGGCTCAGACCATTCTCCCCACAAATGAGTGTGTTGTGTTTTCTAGCTTAACTCTGCCCGTTTGACCGCTGTCCTTTTATGTGGCTATTGAGGAATGCTCTTACACTAGCAGCACGGAGCAAGGACAGCGGCCATGCGCTCCCCTGCCCCGCGGTCAGCAGGAGGCCGGACCCTGCGGGTGTGGGTGCCTGGAACAGGAGCCTCCCGGCACCGAGCAGTCACGTGCAGGAATGTTTGCCCAGAGACCCAGAACCCTGGGCTTTTGTGAGAGAATTCTCAAACGATCGCAGTATTTCAGTCATTTTCGATCCTGGCAGGCTAAACGGTCTGTTTTGGGGCCAGATTCAGTCCACAGGCTCAGCTCAGCCCTCGACATGGGAGCCGGTGGATGAGGCGATTCTGGGATTATAAAAAAGTGGGAAACATTTTAGAACGACTCATATTATACTCCTAAGTTATTACCCCACAAACCTGCTCTCTCTCCTTTTTTAAAGGTCAAAGCTGAAGATGGAAGACATCAAGGAAGTCAATAAAGCACTGAAGGTACTGAGTTATTCCTGTTATTAGCATAAAAGCCGCTCTGTGACTACTGGTCAGCTCATGCTAACGCCCTGCGTGCGCCTGGGTCTTCTCCCCAGAAGTCAGGTGAGACCTGAGCGGCTGAGGCGCGGTCCTGACCTTTAGAGGTAAATGCTGCTCGGAGGGGCGTCACTGCTGCGCTGCCCGTGCCGGTGAGCGGCAGGCCCGCGGGAACTGTCTCCTGACTTGTTCCTCTGCCACCAGCTGGAGTGACACAGGCCTCAATGCAGGTGCCCTGGCGAAGGAAGGTGTTTTTCATAGTGAGAGTGAGGCCTTTCCTCCGAGTGAGACCGGAGCCCTCCCTGCCCCTGTGGGGCCTCCGCCGTTTCAGGGGCCACCGACACCCTGAGCAGGGCAGGAGGCTGGGTCATTTTGGGAAGAGCAGTGTGACACCACCGAGCAGGACTGTGTGGCCAGGTGGCCCAGGGCAGTTGAGCAGAAGGGACAGCCCACCGGTGGTGGTGACAGCAGGGCCAGCTGCTCCCCCAAGTATACGCCGGAGCAGAGACCTGATGACCGGGCATCTCCCCTCCAGCGCACACAGGTCAGAGGCAGCAAAGGGTCGCAGCACCTACCAGCACTGGACTTGGAACAACTGTTTCTCTACCCTCCCTGTAGAGTGAAAGCTGCTTCCATGTAACGGCCGGGCTGCTGGGCTGCGTGTGCCCTGCACTGCACACAGATAGACATCATGCTTCTAGGGCCCCTTTCAGAGCCTCAGGTACCTCCTCCACAGAATGGAGACAGGTGCCTCCCCCACGATGCTCGCAGGATGAGGGGCTTCCCGGGACAGGGACCCGTGGCGGATGGTTTCTGTCTGGCTAAAGGGCTGGCCTTTCTCCCTCCTGCCAGTTCAAGAGACACGCAGAGTGCCTCAGCCAGGGTTGGAGCTGCAACCCTGACTCTCAGGACTCAGCCAGAGGCCTCTATTGGAAGGTAGTGAACAGGGGGCTGGAGAATCCGGCTTGAGGCCCAGGGGACAGCGTGCTTAGGCTGAAAACCAGAGCCACAGGCCAGGCCAGGTCTGTCCCTGGAGAGGAACGAGGCTATTGGGGAACTGGGTACTGAGCAGCCAGGACACAGGAGCCGGCCATCAATGTGCTTTCCTCCCAGGGCCACACTTGGCTGAAAGATGACGAAGCTACCCACTGTAAGCAGTGTGAGAAGGAGTTCTCCATCTCCCGGAGAAAGGTATGTGTGCCCAGGGGCTGGGTTGGTACCCAGCTGGGCTCCCCTTCCTCTGGTTCTGGGACGAGCCCTTGGGACAAGCCAAGTACTGTGGTCACGCCTGGTGTGCTGGCCCATGCAGGGTGCCCCCAGTCAGTCATGGGCCTTGTCCCCAGCACAGTCCTTTCAACGATTGGCAGTTTCTTTGGGAGTTGGGCTGCTTGTGTACAGAACTGGTCTAAGTGAATGTATCATTGAAAAGTCTTCATAAGCAACAGAAACAAAATCTGCCCAAGTTGGTCAAGAAAAACGGATCAATGGGCAACCGATGGGCAGCGGGTTTTGGGTCAGGCATCCAAGTAGCACCCAAAGCTCACAGGTCACCCGGGGAGGGCACTCGGTCCTGCTGCCCTGCTCCGGTGAACCTGCTTTTCTGCCTGGATAGCCTGCCCCCAGGTCTCGAGAACAGGTCCTGGGCCCAGCCTTTGGTCCAGGATTGAGGACCGTGGTTGGCCAGTTAAGAGGACAGCCAGACGCTAGATTCCCAAGCAAAATAGGGAGTCCTCACCAAAAGGGGAATGCCTGCCACCCTGGCACCACCACCCCATCTGTTGCCATATGGATGCACATTCTCGCCTGTCCCGTTAAAACCCTCTGTGGAAAAGAGGAAGCAAAGCTTCCAAACTCTAAGGAGAACAGCAGCAGCCCAGGCGAGGCTGCCTCTGAGACCAGCCGTTCACAAGGCCTGCTAGCAGGGGGCTCCACACGCCTGGCTCTGCCTACGCCAGTGCGAGGTCCAGCTTCCAGCCTGGTGGGCGTGGCAGCGGCAGCCTGATGTAGAGCCCGGAGGAGCGGAAGCCACACGGGTCCGGGTCTTGGCGTCTGCTGTGTGCCCGCCCAACGTGTGTGGCAGCTCAGCTTACAGAGCAAGACACCCTCACCCCCCAAGACGGACCAGTAAAGGAGCCATAAACGCAGCCGTCACTGGATGATCCGGGCCCAGTCCAGTAAAACCATTTTAAAGAAAAAGAACCTTAGTCCGAGTGCACACCACTCCACCCACACTCCATGGGTTGTTCAGGAACATAAATGTAGAAATAAAGGTCTAGAGCAGGGCTGGGGACCGTGGCCCACGGGCCATATAAGGCCCATGAAATCATTTGGCCTGGCCAGGCCAGGGCATTAGGGGTGAGTTAATTAGATGTTTAACCAAATATAGCAGGCTACTTTTTTTTTTTTAATATATCTTTATTGATTTCAGAGAGGAAGGGAGAGGAAGAGATAGATACAAACATCAATGATGAGAGAGAATCATTGATTGGCTGCCTCCTGCACGCCCCCTACTGGGGATCAAGCCTGCAACCCGGGCATGTGCCCCTGACCGGAATCGAACTGGGACCCTTCAGTCCGCAGGCTGACGCTCTATCCACTGAGCCAAACCAGCCAGGGCCGCAGGCTACTTTTTAAGTTGATAATTTTGCATGACCCATAAATTTTGTTATAAATAGCCAAAAGGTTCCCCACCCCTAGTCTAGAGGAACTCCTTCCAAATTGGCAAGTCTCTGGGGGAGGGACCTGGAATTAGTAAATGAACTCTGAAAGGCTGCAAGTCTAGACTGGGTGTGGGCCAGGGAGCACAGCATGTCCTGTGACTGCCTCTCTTCTGTCCTCTAGCACCACTGCCGAAACTGCGGCCACATCTTCTGCAACACGTGCTCCAGTAACGAGCTGGCCCTGCCCTCCTACCCCAAGCCCGTGCGCGTGTGTGACAGCTGCCACACCCTGCTCCTGCAGCGCTGCTCCTCCTCCACGGGCTCCTAAGGCCTCGGAACAGCGCCACCCTGCAGGGGTTCGCGGCTCGGAGCTGGCTTCCCAAGAGAATCTAAGGAAAGAACGGTTCCTGGGTCGGCCGCCAGCACTTCCAGAGTTGGATGGGATGAACTCTGGATTGAAGCTTCCTTCTCACTTGGCTGCATCACCGGTTTAGGGTCCGAAGTAACTTCATGGTTTTGCTACTGTCATTTTCACTTTTTCAAGAACTAACCTATTTTGCAGCAGTTGTACTAGTGTAGTGAGTAATCCGTTCCTCTCCCCGCACTGCCCTGTGTGCCTTCCCTGCTTGAGTCAAGAAATGGGCCCTTTCACACCCTTGTACGTCACTTCTCACTCTCGTGCAGGGAATAAAGGAGCTGGTGTCAACCTGAGTTCGCCTCTGAAGACCCCTCAGACAAGCTCCATTTCGGGACAATAGGCCCTTTGGGGGTCGTGTTTGGGGTGAAGCCTGCTGGGTTCTGGGGAATAGGCTCTGCTCTGCCCAGTGAGCCGAGGACAACTTGGGCCGTTAAATCCATTGGTGGGATTGGGAAGTGACCTGTCGCCCAAGCTCATGGAGACACCTGAGGGGAAGCACCTTGGGGTTTGCATTTCAGAAGCAGAGTCAGGACAGGTGTTAGCTGTGGGCTGTGAAAACTGGCTCAGAGACTTCCTCCTCTGAGCACATGCATCTCCCTCCCCCCGTCAGTCAATGGCCTCAAAAGTCAGTCCATTTGTGGACTGGGCTTCAGCCTTCTCCACCCTCAGTGCACTCACCTCACTGCCCCTCGGATTCATCCTCCTTATGCCCGTCTGTGCCTCCCACCAGTCCTTCTGGACTGCTCCCAGCTGGCCAGCCCCTGCTGGAGGCCCTGCCTCTTCCTTCTCAGGAGGGCTCTTCCACAGCCTGGCTCAAGGTTCCCAGCTACTCCCTTAAATACACCTTTATGTTACGGATGGGAAACAGAGGCTCCGTGAAGTTAGGTCCCAGCATGCAGTGCAGCCAGCCTCTAAAACCATGCCTAACCCCAAAGCCATGTTTTATCCAAGCTGCAGGTTTTCAAACCTTACCCTGAGCTTTTAAATATTCACTCTTCCCCAGACATTTACATACTGCTACCTCGAACTGGTCTGGCATTAGATGTATGTACCTTGTCTTCAATGCACCCAATTTGAACTGCGGCTTGCTGAGGACCTTAGGCAAGCCACTTCACTTCTGAGCCTTAGCGCTCATCTGCACGTACAAAAGGTAGCAGGGTAATACCTCCCCACTAGTGTACTATTCTGAAGGCTCAGTAAGTACATGACATGCCCACCACTGTGCCACACTTAGTGCTCTTCCCTTAATCACACTTATTTTCTCCTCCAACCTCATCCCCCCTCCTAACCCCCAAGCAACAAATGGTCAAGCATTATTCACAAAGAATCCTTGGGCCAGTTACCAATATCTAGCTGCATGGAAAACTTTTCACCCAGACATCAGATACACACCTGAGCTTTGGGACCCTCTGGTCTGGCAACCTTCTAACCTGGGCAGTGACAGACAGATGGCCGAGGGTGGCGCTCCTCGAGCTGCCGTGCACAGGCTGATGGGGTGACATGGAGGTTGGTGTTCAATGCAGACAATGTCTGGAGGTTCTGGTCATTCCCAACAAGCTCCAGGATGCTGGCCCACGGAACGTAAGATTCCTAAGAACCAGAATGTTCTTACTCACTAGCTTTATTCCATGTTTCTAGTTCTTTCCCTTCCTTAATGTTTTCAACAAAAATGTTCTTTATGCAAAACAAATTAACTCAAGAACTCAAGGATGGAACCCTCCTTGAGCCTTCTCAACACCAGGTATCTCCAATCCACACACTTTTAATAACTCAGCCAATGCTAGGTTTAGACTGTAGCTGAACACCAGTGCTCACACTGAAAATTAATCATCTCTAAACCTGCTGGACAAGCGACATGATACATTCCAAGTGCAACACCTGTGTATCCATAGCCCTTTCCCGACAGTGAAGAGCAGCACCAACAGCCAGCAGAGAGCATGCAGCAGGGCAGGGGGATCTGCAGGGCCCCACGCACATCTTCGTGCAATGCTGCCACCTACAGACTTAGACTTGAGTAGTCCCACCAAACTAATCTCACCCAGGAATAAAGGAGAAAACCTTCAGCACTTGTCAGAGCAAAATGTACACACCAGGCTCCAAAGTGTACAAGCCTTTATCTGCAGCTAATCAATACAACTAATGAGTCTGGAGCAAGCAGCAACTTCCAACCGGTGTGCTGCAAGAATTTTTTAAACATGCAATACCTGACAATTTTAGTCAAGGGCACTGACCTCTCTTCCCGACTGTCAAATTTAAAGAATAACAGCCAACACAACAACCATCTGGTGTGAATGCCATCTTGGACTATAACATGTAGGCCATATGATAGAATTGCATCTGATTGGTCAGTCCTTGGTACCAGAAATCTATAATAATAAAAGTATAATATGCTAATTAGACCGGACGTCCTCCCGGACAAAGCTGGGGCTGCAGCCGTGGAATGGAGGCAGCCACTACAGCTGCGAGGGATGGATCCAGGCAGCCAGACCGCAGCTGCGAAGGCCTACACTTGCATGAATTCTGTTCATCAGGCCTCTAGTACTTATGCACAAATTTTCATGCATTGGGCCTCTAGTACTTATGCCCAATGCACAAAATTCGTGCAAGAGTAGGCCTTCCTTCGCCCGGCTGCCGGCACCAGCTTCCCACAGGCACCCGGACCCGGCTGTTTCCCTCCTCCAGCCGCCTGCAGGCACCCGGGGCCCAGGCTGGCTTCCCTCCGGCCCCATCAGGAAGGACATCATGAAGAAGTCGTCTAATTAGCATATTACCCTTTTATTATTATAGGTACGGCACCTGATTTTTTAGTCACTTTAGAACAAAAGTAGTAGGCAATTACTACTGTTTTGTTTTGTAAACCTATTTTATCAGATTGGCAAAAAAAACCCACAATCTATTCTTTGGTGTACTGCAGATTTTAGTAGTTTCTATGCCATTAGATGAAAATGGTTAAAAATTACTAGTCTAGCCCTAGCCGGTTTTGCTCAGTGGATAGAGCATCGGCCTGCAGACTCAAGGGTCCCAGGTTCGATTCCGGTCAAGGGCAAGTACCTTGGTTGCAGGCACATACCCAGTGGGGAGTGTGCAGGAGGCAGCTGATTGATGTTTCTCTCTCATCAATGTTTCTAACTCTCTATCCCTCTCCCTTCCTCTCTGTAAAAAAATCAATAAAATATATTTTTAAAAAATTACTAGTCTAGAGGGACGGTGAATGAGTGGTAGTTTCCAAATTGCAGTCTAAGTATCCACTGAAGGGACTTCTGGAACTATACTTTAAATTCCTAATGCTAGAGCATTTTCTAGCAAATGTCAAATTTTAGCCCTAATCTACAGGCTACCAGACTTTAAATGATTTACTTTCAGAAATATGTGGTCTTGCCCTAGCTGGTTTGGCTCAGTGAATAGAGCCTCGGCCTGCAGACTGGAAGGTCCTGGGTTTGATTCAAGGGCACAGGCTCAGGTTGCGGGCTCGATCCCCAGTAGGGGGTGTGCAGGAGGCAGCCGATCAATGATTCTTTCTCATTGATGTTTCTATCTCCCTCTCCCTTCCTCTCTGAAATCAATTTTAAAAAAAGATGTGGTCTTCTCCATCAGGAGCTTTAAAGGAAATGAATTTTGCTCGTTAAGCATGTCAAACTCGTGGCCCACCTGTGGCCAACAATGAATATTTTTGCGGCCCAGCCAATATAACGGTTATGTAAGAAACGTTTTAATAAAAATTACATAACTTTTACAATATCGTTATAATAACTATGACATTCGCTAATGACTGATTACTATAATCGTGTTGCATTCATTTCCCTTATGCACAGGCGCACCATTTCTCTCCACTAATACTAGCAGTGAACACTCTAGCAGCCAATTTCCACATTAGTCTTGGACTAGTTTGGTATGTGCAAACAGGAAATATTTCGCTTTCAGAGAACAAGAAAAATAGGTTTATTTGCATTATGCTTATTAATTTGTGGTTATTCAGTGTCTGATAAATTAATGTTCAAGAAAAAAAATATCAAAATGTTCTATTTTATGTCAACGATTACTCATTTATTTCAGCCCTTTGTATTCAGCACATCTCTATCAAAATAAACCTACGTTTCTATGAAAATTGAAGCTTTTGGGGTTTTTTTGCGGCCTACATAAACTTAAACCTTATTTGGCCCGTGTTAAGCCTTTGAGTTTGACATGCTTGTCGTAAGTGGTCTTGGATCTTTGGGAATGAGGCAAAAATGAAGATTAAAACCTCAATTTGAAAAAGAAAACTTGAGTTCTCCCTCCTAGGAGCACACCTGCACCTCCCCCCCTCTCCCTCCCAGGCATTTACCCATTACCTTCCTCACTCCCAAGCTCCAAGGGCCTCCCCGGCCTTTTTTTTTTAACCTCTGTAACTTGTTTCCTAAACCCATTTCTAGTTTACTTCACCTCTGGAATTTTCTAAACAAATGTTGTTCTAGTTTGGTGGGAGGGGGCACTTCATATAAAAACTCAGCCCTGCCCTGGCTGGTTTGGCTCAGTGGATAGACCGTCGGTCTATGGACTGGGGGGTCCTAGGTTCGATTAAGGTCAAGGGCATGTACCTTGGTTGCGGGCACGTCCCCAGTGCAGGGTGTGCAGGAGGCAGCTGATCTGTTTCTCTCCCATCAATGTTTCTCTCTCCCTCTCCCTTCCTCTCTGTAAAAAATCAATAAAATATATTTAAAAACAAAACTCAGCCCTAGCCAGTTTGGCTCAATAGCTAGAGCATCAGCCTGCAGACCAAAGGGTCCTGGGTTCAATTCCAGCCAAGGCTGCAGGCTCCTCCCTGGCCCAGGCCCTGGTCAGGGGTCATGCAGGAGGCAACCAATCAATGTGTTTCTCACATCAGTTTCTTTCCTCTCTCCTAAAAGCCGATGGAAAAATATCCTTGGGTAATGATTAACAAAAAGCAAAGCCCTGGCTGGGTAGCTTAGTTGGTTCAAGTGTTGTCCTTATACACCAAGGTTTGCAGGTTCAGTCCCGGGTCAAGGCACATACAAGAATCAACTGATGAACACAAAAATTAGTGGAACAACAAATCAATGTTTTTCTCTCCCTTCCTCTAAAATCCATATAAAATAAACTTGAAGAGATGCCATCCAATTAGGAAGGACAGCTCCAGCCACCCTTTGCTGTATGCTTCCTCCTCAGCCACGCCTGAAGGCCCCTGTGGACATGCAGCATGCAGTGAGGGCACTTCTGCCTCTGCTTTGTGCAAGTGCTTAGCAAGTCAAAGGCAGCACACAAACACAGAGCCCGTCCACAAGGGGCCCAAAGCCATGATTACCTAGTATTGGAGGGAAGTCTGAAGACCTCTACACAACAGCCTCAACTGGGGAGCCTGTCACAGCCAGAGACATGGGCCACTGTCACCTACGCCCAGGCAGGCATAGAGCCCAAGAAACAGGCCACATGACACTGAAGCACAGACAAGACAAAGTGCAGTTTTTAAAAGGAAAATTTATTTTGACAAGTTTCACTTAGCGCAATACACCTAAAAGGAAATCACAATACAATGAAAGATTTAAATCAAGGCCTCGGAATTTCATACAAACACCAAGACCAAAATCCTAAAGTATTGGTATTGCGTCTCAAAATTTTCCCATTAACTTAAAAAAAGCTTCAACTTACATGCCTTGGAAGTTATTAAATGAAACTAGAATTAACAAACATGCCAAATGTTTCACTTTTAATTGTAGACACAGCTCCTATATTTTTACAAAAAAGCATGTTTTTTCAACATGCTTCCATGAAGTGTTCGATGTGATGTGATGTAAGAGCAACATTTAACATAATTCAACTTCTTTAACCTAAATATACTTACTGCTTAAGTACATCCTACAATAGAACTAACTTGAGAAAAGCTAAAAATTGTTTAACAGTTATAGTTTACTCAACTTAGTTGTTACATCCTAGATGAATATTTGTGTTCAAAAATAATGAACCTTTAAGTCTTTAATTCAATCCTTATTTCCACTTAGAGTAAGCATAAATCACAAGTTGGTATTGCAAAAATTGTTAGTTTTTTTTTCTTTAAAATAATGTTGACCAAGAGTCAGTGATAAGGATCAATTACATTCCCCATCCACCACTCATACTAGACATGCTAGACATCCCTCCCATTCCGTTCACTCCCACAGATGCACGGCTTCCACTATTGTAGTAGCTGCTGTTCACTGCTCCTTGGCTGCCTGCAGAGAGATCAATTTGAGAAGTCAGGAGAAGTATCACATTATCAGTCAAGTAAAATATCGCATTCCAGGAAAAAGTTTGAAAAGAATACGAGTACAAATGGCTGCTGTCCAAGTGGCGAGAAGCATGTTTGGGAAAAGGGACTCCCGAATCCAAACAAGTCTCAATGAACCCCTTTTCTCTGCAGTACCAAAATCTTGCCAGACTCTCGTGCTACCATTTAAAAAGCAGGTGCTTCAGGATCAACATGGAAAATTAAGTTTAAAGGAAAACTAGTGTTTTTCAAAAATTGCAAAATTACTTCATGTTTCTAAAACTAAACAAGGCATTTTTAAAAATTTTACCATAAACAACAATGTGTCCATCGAATGGCATATATGAATAGGGAGCACAGGGGCAGTCTTGCTTTTCCTATTCATGGTGGGCAGGAGTGAGACTGGGACTAAAGGCAACTCACTGTGCCCAAAATGGCAGCCTCCATGGAGTTAAGTCAGAGCCATTGACTGCTATAGAAAAAGTATCAGCACAACATATCAGTATTTGCTATTGGGAATTTAAATTATATTTTTTGAGAAAATATTTACCTATGCAATGTTTGATTGAAAATCACTGGAGTTTTCCTGTAAAACTTGGTCTGCAAAAGGATTTTGTAGGGTAAGACTATAATACCAAAATCACCATTCTTTAGACCAATTGAAAAAAATAAAACCAATCCTAGGTTAACTGACTAGTAAATACGGTCCTGAACCCAACCCCCATTTTACTATTTTCAATTCTCCCTCCATCTAAAATGAATTTAGTACACTAACCAAAAGACAGAGAAAGAGAACTGTTTATTTAATGTTTTAATACATGGAGGCAGATGTTTTCTGACTACATTATTCCAAGTTGTGTATTTAATTTATAGAACACTCCCCCCTCCACCACATTAAATTGGGCCTGCAAATTAAGCTATTAACTGTTTTAACAGGAACAAAAGCATATATTTAATAACCCAATTTCGCCAAAAAAGGAGCCTGCATATTCCCCCAACTAAAGAAACCTACCTAAAACTTACTGCAAGTATATTAAAAACACACTTACCATATCCACTCATGCTGCTCTGGCCGCCATAGCCACCTCCATAACCACCACTCAGCTGCTGGCTTGTTGGGCCACCATAACTGGACTGGTTTGCTGTTAAGTTAAGAGACCATTAGAACCTTGTTCCCTATGTAATGTGGTACCTGGTGGTACCGGGCTTGTAACTAAATCTATGATTTCGAGTCTTGATCTTACATTACTGTAACCCTTTGCCTATTTTCTATGAACAGACTACCTTTCTATCATTTGAGCTAGTCAAACATTTATAAACCAACTGGCCAAAAGCATACACATCAGCAGGACTAAATCCACATGATTCCATAGAAGCATTTTGAGAAAAACTTATGAAACTGTTTAACTGAAATCAGTGGGGTTGTTCCCCATAACTTGATATAGTAAAGCTATTGTCATTACATAGGTATCACTGAACACCTAATTATGCCCAACAAATTTTGTCCAAAAATTTAAGTTATTTTGATCCTATGCTTTTTGCTGTCATTCACTTTAGATTTATACTATATAAACAATTCCACTTGTTTCTTTAACGCCCCCCCACAAAGTACTTAAAATTAGTTATCTATTCTAAGTAGTTTTACATAACTCAAGGATTTAAGTCAGACCCAAAATTAAAAGCTTTTTCCTTTGCCTAACTTAATATGCTAAACTCATGAAATATAAATTAACTTATATAATTGACTTATACAGATATAAACGTTTTGGTTTTTAAAAAAACTAACGATATTTACACAAGCCCATGCCTCCCATCATTTGGCTACCATAAGCACCACCGCTTGCTCCTGCTGTAGAATTCAAGAAGAGTTCTACATATCTGTGTTCTGAAATGAGAGAAAAGGCATACAAGGTTAGCTTTAAAAAAAAGACACTAAAGCGATATTTACACAAACCCATGCCTCCTAGCATTTGGCTACCGTAAGCACCACCGCTTGCTCCTGCTGTAGAATTCAAGAAGAGTTCTACATATCTGTGTTCTGAAATGAGAAAAAAGAAATTGAAATGTTTGTTGGTGAAAGAATACTAAGTTCTTAAACAAAGACCTGAACTTCAAATATTTTTTGGTATAAAAAAATTCTAGCTGCTTCTCAGTTGATTTACTTTAATTATGCAGCTTTCCAAAACTAGTCTTTTATCTTAAATATTCACCTAAATTGCCTTGAGTTTATTGGATATATTTCAAAGTCAATGTTTGTACCACAAATCCTTTGTCACAATTTTTAAAACCCACAAAATTTTAACATCCCCAAGAGCTAACCTACCATCAGCAAACCCATTTCTCGTACATCCTTTCTATTCTATTCCTGCATGTCAGTCACACAACCACCTGTAAAGACTCCCCGAGACAGTGAAGTGAAATCACACTTACGCATATTTGCTTTGTCTTTCGACATAGCTGCCACAGCATCTTCATGAGTTGCAAACTCAACATCTGCTTCACCAGTTACTCTGCCATCAGGACCAATTTCAATATGTACTCTCACAGGGTTGAGCGGTGAAAAAAACTAAATACAAGGTATTCAGAGAATCAAGTCAACTTTCTAATGTTACAAAAAATTTATAACATCCCATTTCACTTAGGCAGAATTAAGACCCCAGGTTTTTACTGCTCTACTGAAAGGGCTGACTTATGAATTCATCTCACACTTACATTATAAATGTCATTCTCCGTAGCTCTGTAAGGTAATCCCCGCATGTGTACACAGTGTCCAGTTGTGCTCTGGAAAGTAGAGCCACCATCCCCATATCTGTGGTCAGACATTCCTGAAAAACAGTAATTGAGGTCTAGATGGACAAAGTGTAAGTAGCCTTTGGTTGAGAAATTCAATTCTTACCTTACCTCTTCCAAATCTATCTGACCCAAAACCATAGCCATCATTATAGCCATTATAATCATCATAGCCTCCATAACTTAAAAGACAAAAAGTACAATCAATCAAATGACAACACACAAGAACCACCCTCCTCACGCCTGCATATTCTCACATACCTCCACCGTAAGCTCCACGCCTCATCCGTTCAAAGCCAGCTCCCCTGCCAATGCTGTTATACCCTCTGCCGGCCCCAGGTCTGTCATAGGGACCTGGCCGCTGCATGGCCATAAGCTTTCGTGGTGGGTCATAGTGAGTTCTGACTTCTGCGCGACTGCTCTTAAAAATTTCGATATACCTAAAGCATTGTTCATGAAGAAGGGAACGGGGAGGGGAGAGGAAAAATTAGTTCATGTCATACAGGTATTTAGTTACACAAGAAAACAATGTAGTCATAGCCATGAAACTGACTAATATTTAAAGCCAGATTTCTTATACTTGCATAGGCAATGACCAGAAATTCACTCAATTGTAAGATTATTTCATGTAAACTTTATAGAAAACTCACTCCTCTAAAGCAGAGAAGCCCACCTTTAGGGGTGGAGAGGAGTACTATAAACAAATGTTTTAGGAGGGAAAAGATTCCACTCAACTTTCAACATTTCACGTCTTAAATCCTTTGGCAGCACGTATAGCAAGTGGGCTAAAAAGCCAGCCTCCACCAACAGTCTAGCCCACACTACACATTTTCTTTCGCCAATAAATACCCCAGCCTATGCTTTTAGTAGGAATCAGCATAGGTAAGCGCATGCTTCAATGAAAAATAGTCACAAGCGAAGAGAATAAAACCTTTTGTGACAATTTCTTGAAAGCTATGCTTATTAATATATATGCAGAATATTTATACAGCAAGAAAGTTTGTTGCATTTCAACTTTAAAAACAAGATCAGAAAGTATCACATTTTCTTATGGTAATATTAATTTACTATGTGGGTGTTACAGCTAAAATCAGGTTTGCATTACATTTTTTTAAAAGCCATAGTCTCTCAACTCAATTGATTGGGGTTAAATAGATCTTACAAAACTATATAGTAGACCAAATTAACTAAGACCAATTTTAAAATCTAAAATTTAATCAGAATGCATTATGGGACTTTGGCATAGTGTAAAGTTCGAAAATTGTGGCCAAACATCAATTAATTGGGACTAGAAAAATTTATTATTCCTAAGCAGAGAGAATATGGATTTAATGTTTTACCATAAGAAAAGTGACAAATCCAACCAACCATCCATCCCCACCTGTGCCCTATTCTTTCCTTGTGTTTCTTTAGAGCCTTTTCAGCTATTTCCTGTGAAGCAAACTGCACGAAGGCCTCCCCCGTACTCCTCCCCTGGAAGTCCACCGGCAATGTTATCCCATTTGGCACGATTTCCAACCCTTCAACCCAAGGACAAATAACCCCAGTAGGGGGGCAATATTAACATCACAAGCCCAGAAATGATTCTTCTTACAGCTTTAAATAAACCAGAATTTTAACTTTAGGTGAACGGTATGCTTTCAACAAGTACTCTTTAAAAATGCATTGCAGTAATATGAAGTTCCATTATGACTAAGTATAACAATTCTTAACACACCCATGGCACAAAGAAAAAACTTGCTGAGCACAGGATGAATTAAGAATTCAACAAATAACAAACACTCTTATCTACTCAATGTTGAAAATTACACAATAATTTAATAAAAGTTTCAAGCATTAAATACAACAGTTTTACTAAATTCAAGAAACACCTTTTGCCTCATTTTTATAGTTCAATGTTTTACGTTAGTGGAACTTCAAGTTTTAAAAATTTACACATTTAAACATTTTATATACAAATTGAAACATTGCTTAAGTATATCATTGACAAACATACAATCTAAACTTTCAGCAAACAAATAAACTGATCTAGACAGCACAATCATGCATTTTATGTTCTAACAGTAGTATGATTCACTTCTGGAAATTCCGTCTATGAAAAATCCTTTCCGTGGATACATTCCCAAGCTTACAAAAAGGGCTTAAAGCACTTTCCTAGAAGATATGAAATTATGTTCATATTTAACGTTGACAGCATTGAATTCTCACCAGTTTAGATAAAACAATAAAAACAGACTTGATCTCAAAAATTCTGGCAAAATATTAGGACTTGATACATATCTAACAGTCAGGATTTTAATTTATACTACCCTAAACCATGAGAGGATGTCTTGTTCTTAATTCCAGTTTATGACACCATGAATATCAACTAATAGTATTTTAGATATAGGATCAAACATTCTACTAAACATGCAATTTTATCAGCTCTTCAGCATAAAAACATTCAAATACTTTAGGCCCAGAACAACTTTAAAACATTCTCTGTATTTCAGATACTAAGACTATAACATTCAATTATTCTTTGACTTTTAGTAAATTTAGATTTTCCTGGCTAAATCAGTTTTTCTGCATAAAGAGAATTAGACCGTTAAGAGACATTTTTGGTCCCAAGACCCAACGTGTCTTACAACATATACACCTGCCATAAATTACAACCACCTAACTCACACTAATCTAATGTTTAGGGATCTTACCTTTAACTTGAAGTACTTTGCTGAACAGCATTGTGAGGAAAGTAGTTAAAGTTGTTGAGGACAATCCTCAAAGATCTACTCTGAACTACAATACTAAATACAGGCAAGTTAGCATTTTCAAAATACTTAATTTCCACCATTAAGATGGGTCTAAATTATATGAAGGTCTCCAGGAAGAAAACATTAATTCATCTGCATATAAATATCTGTTTAAATATCTCAGTTGCTCAACTTTAAGGTCTATTAAGTCATGTTGCCAGGAGCTAGCCAAAACTCACTGCTCAGCAACAAACACGACTACATACCTGAGAAGAACTGAACAATTTCTTCCTTGCTACATCCAAAGGGGAGTCCTCTAAGCCGTACAAAGCCATCATTGGCCGTGTCAGGACTATTTGGACCAGTATGCTTCAACACCCAATCCATTTCAACGTTGTTTGACTTGAATACTGAAAGAGGTGCTTAGAATTAGTCAATTTTGGAAAGTTAGAGAACTAAGTTCAGACTTCCTGGGTCTTTAGATAATCTAGGAAGAGCTGCCACAAACCCTTAGGTGACCGTTTCCATGCGGTCAAATACCTAAAGTTCAGGAGGGATAAAATAGATCTCTGTTTAATGTTTATTTACTGTTACTAGGGCAACATAAATCAAACCTTCAACATATCTGTGTCCCATAGTTTCTCTGTCTTTTTTCAGGGCCAATTTGACTTCATCTTCTGATTCAAGTTCAACAAAAGCCTCGCCACTCGGTCTGCCTTCTCTGGTGTAGATGAAACGTATACCTTGAGCCCCATTTTGAATTTTGCAGTCTGGAAAGAAAACAACCGTTAATACAGAATTTAAAATTTAAAATCACCTCTGGGTGATACTGATGAAATGCCTATTCACGCCCCAACAAAGTAGATCACATGCAAAGCCTAAAATGACCAAGATACTGCCGACTCCTAGAGTCTCTTCTCGGTAATTAAGCTGTTATCCCCTCCAGATGAAACTTTATTCTCAACCCATCAATAAAAGCCAATATTGAAAGTTTCTTAACAAAAATCTCCACATGCTCACTACCCAAATATCTCCATTAACATAATTTGTAACTTCTCAGTAAGTTAATTCTGAACCTTATTATTTTAATGCATTTCCTGAATATATCTGTTTCAACTTTTGGTCTGGGACCTTTGATCATTTTAAACCTTATTAGCAGTGACATTACAATCCAAATTGCAGGGCCAATACTCACCTGAAGGGGATCAATGTTACAAAGCTAAAATGCTCCAAGCTGAACAGCTGAAGCCAAACCCAGTCTCGCCCACTGCAAGGTGGCTTCCAGTGTACTTGGTTCTTGTTTTACAGGTTGCTTTCCGTTAAATTCAGATAGTTAGTCAATACTACAAGTGTCCTTCCAAAACCTGCAGAATTCTTCCAAGTCAATGTGTATCAGTCTACTCTTACATTAATGGAAACAAGGATATTTTGGCAGAAATTATACAGGAACCTACATTACTTGGGAACTACTAGGCAACTGAACTTGCCTGGGCTTCAGTGTCCTCAACTGTAAAAGGAGCCAGATCAAGAACTAGGTAAGAACTTAATTACCAAATCTTGATCAGGAAAACTGTCTCTAAGGTTTAAAAATGACAGTTTAACTCTAGGAACCAAAACGCCTCCTTTTCAAGGACATGCCGAAATTGTAAAGTTGTTATACTTTGTTTTCAAAATATTACTGTTTGCCCAGCCACTAGGCAATTTTCTTAGGGTTGAGGGGGAAATCCAATTTATCCTTTCCAAGGCATCACAGAAAGGCTAGTGCTTAAAGGTAGGTAAAGGGGGGAAAAAATCCCGCCCTGGCCCGTGTGCTCAGTGGTTAGAACGACGCCCACGCACGGAAGGTTCATTCCCAGGTTCATTCCCGAGTTGCAGGTTCCATCCACAGCGAAGTTGGGGCGCGTGCAGGAGGCAATCAATAGATGTCTCTCCCTCCCATCCTCTCTCCAAATATCAATTGAAGTATCCTTGGGTGAGGATTACCAAAACAAAGGGGGAAAAATCCGCCAGAGAGGCCGCAGCAGAAGGCCCAGAAGGCGGGAGGGCGGGGCTTTCGCTGTTTCCATTGCGTAACAGCGGACGCCGGGG